GTTTGCATGTCAAAGGGGAGACAGACAGACAATCCTGATTATGAAGAATACAAAATGGGTACAAAATGGGCAGAGGAGGGGCACAGTGAATTCTAACCAAAAAAAAAAAAATTACTCAAAGTCATCTCAGAGTTTGGGCTCTGTAGTTATATCTGGAAGAATGTAGACATTTCCACAGAATAAGCAAGAGAATTATCTATCCCCTAGGTCAGCAGGTAAGGAAACTAATGTTCTGTGTTCACATGGTAGTGAAGGGCTCAGAGGGGTTGTTTTCTAAAGCATGTTCATGAATTCAGATCTGCTTCCAAAGTGATCATCAGAAAGTGATTTATGAGAAGGTACAGAAGGGGGAATCATCTCATCTTGTTTTAGGTCTCTGGATTTTAGTCAGAGAAAATTAAAACGTCCATGTTTCGGGCCATGGAGACATGGAAACAGATCTCTCATTCATTTACCACCCACAGCCAAATACATGTGAGAAAATGATGTTCCTCCACACCCAGAAGTCACTCATCATGGCTTAGTCAGGGAGAAGCCTAGCAGAACAACCAGATTTGTGAGCTGCATTAATGGCTCTCCAGGCTCCAGAGAAGGCAGAAATTCCTTCCACATTTGTGTGGCCTCAAGCTTTCCCACAACTTATTGCTTCTATTTTTACTGATGATATTGTCTTAGGTTAAGGAGCAACTTGATCCATGAACATTCACCTGGAAACTTGTCTGGGAGATTTCTCAGTGAAGATTACATAAGCATCTTGGAATGAATTGAAAACAAAAGGTTAGAATTTGGGACTGAGCTGAGACTTGTCTGTAGAGGTATACAGTGAGTGGTATGTGGTGTGCTTCTTCCTCTGCTAAGTGCAACGTGCAGAGTGTAGATGAAATTTATGGGGAACACAAGCCTCGTGTGTCTCTTTCAATACCGCGTAGGAATGCAGCATTTAGTTAGCATGGCCTTTGGTAGGTGCCAGATTCTTTCTTCTATTGTCACTTCAATAAAAGCAATTTGATTACAGCTGGACACAGCCCTGGGATTCCTTTAGCTGCTGAGTTACTATGTTCTTGTTAGAAGGAAACATTTATTTTTCTACATCAGTTGAAGTCCAAATAGCAGCCACAGGAGAATGTGATAAAATACCTGGCTTGTGGGAGAGAGTACCAAGATGATCCCTGGCACCCCTCTCCACCTATTTCTTTCTGTGTCCTGGTGCAGTTCCTCTTATTTTATGTGGACTGAACCCATTACCCTGATTCTAAGCAATAGGTATAGTAGAAATAGTGGGCTTTCATTTCCAAGATAGTTGAAGTTTCAAAACCCTGTGATTCCCATCCTGCTGGTACTCTATACTTACTTCTCCCTGGATCTTCTCATAGGCTTGCTCTATGGGGAGGGCCAAATGGTAAGTAAGAAAGTGAACGCAGCCCCCAGCCAATAGCCAAGGTACAGAGGAGGTCCTTAATCCAAATGCCTTCAAGGAACTGATTCTTGTCAATAACTCTGCCTGGGAGAGAGCTTAAAGCAGACTTCTTTAGCTGTATATTGATATGCTGCAGTTTGGGAGAGCTGTGCTGGAAGACCCAGTTGAAACGGAGATATGGTGTTTCATGCCACTCAATTTTGGGGTGTTTTGTCACACAGCCACAGATAATTATATCATTGATTATAGGAACAGCATGGCTTTGGGTGGAGCACAAAATTGGAAAGTGAATCTGTATAGACACGAATGTCTATGTGAGTCACCAACCTAGAAAATGTCTGTGGGACAGTTGTCTTTCATGTCCTGCTTGTATTGATTGCAACAACCTGGCAAGAGTGATGTTGATTATATTTTGAAAGACAGTGATGATATATACATCACACACACACACACACACACACACACACACACCACACACACACACACACACACACACACACACACACACACGGCTCAGAACATATAGTTAAAACATGGCTGAGACTGAAACATAAATCAAAGTGTCTTCACTCTTAAGATGGGCTCATTTCTCAATATGAGGGGGAGACAAGGGGTAGTGGCAGGCTTGGAGAGGGTAGACAGCAGGCTGCCTGAGGATCTTTTTTGTCACCTAGGTCACTTTCTGTTCTAGGAGATCCTGACAGCTTGAAATGAAACCTAACACAGTGGAATTGACCACCATGAAAATGCAGTCTTATTACTTACAGACTGTGTCTATAATCAGTTAATACATATTTCACTTTCTATGCAGGCTCCAATTGAAGATCTAGAAGTCCTTTGACACTTCTGTGGTGATTAGCAAGAAAATCTGTGACTTTAGAATCGAGTGTTAGGTTATTTTCATGAAACTAAAAAAAAAAAACAAAAACAGAACAACAAAATATCATGAACAATGAATACATGCCACAAAATTTAAAAACAAAGAGAAATAATAGCATCCAGCACTTCACACTTTAATACTGATATCATCTCCTTGGTGCTAGACCCACATCATCTACAACCAAGATTTGTCAAAATGGGCTTTGCTAGACAAAGACAAGATTGGAGTAGTATAGGTGTGTGGTGTGTGTTGCTTTTGTTCGATGGAGACTAGCAGATTAGAGAAAACAGCAGGAAAAATGTAGTGATGCACCTTAAGAAGATGAGGCTGGCCCTGAATACTCTTGTGGTGTCTAGAGCTGAGCTGGCATTTGCAGAACTGATTTGACTCTGAGAAGATAATGAGGTTGTCTGACTAGCTCCAACATGACACTCATGGTCTTTCTCTGGCCATTAGTTCATTAACTCTTGCAATAGCTTTCACATCTCCATTCTTGGAAGGAGCTGAGAAGGCATCATTGCTCATGGGGCCTCTGCACTGTACAGCCTATTTACAATACTTCATTCCCACGATATTGAAGGACATTATAATTAAATGATAAAGTTAACAAACTCTACAGTTGGAGATGACTGAATTCTTTAGAGTCTCCTTGTTACCTCACAGTTTTCACAGATCTTCCTAGTGCACCATTATATAAAATGACAGACACTGGCCACACAAGGTGTGGTGGTTTGAAGAGGTATAGCCCTCATAGACTCATGTGTTTGAACGCTTGGCCCATAGGGAGTAGCACTATTAGGAGGTTTGCCCTTGTTAGAGGAAGTGTGTCACTGTGGGAGTAGGCTTTGAGGTCTCAGAAGCTCAAGTCAGTTTATTCCCTGCTGCCTGTGCATCAAGTAGTAGAACTGTAAGCTCCTTCTCCAGTGCCATGCCTGCCTACATGCTGTCATGTTCCTCATCAGGATGATAATGGACTAAACCTCTGAAGCTGTAAGCCAGCCCCAGTTAAATGTTTTCCTTTATAAGAGTTGCCATGGCCATGGTGTCTCTTCACAGCAATAGAACGCAAACTAAGACACAAGGCTGCATCACTTGAAATAGGGTTAGTGAGACTGAATAATTTTTTTCACTCAATTAATTTCAATTCATTGAAATCTAAACATAGAGGTCCAGAGGCTGTTATTTTATTGCATATTTTTAAAATTTAATATGGGCTCACATGGATAGATATTTTCCAAGTCTCAGGCTCCAAACTATAAATTTTGCATATATTCATCCAGTTTTCAGAAAACCCATTGAGGCCCATTATATCATTCATATTTCATAGAGCAGAAATTTAGCTATCAGAGATAAAATAGCCTTCCTCAAATCAGGTGAGAGATGGGATTACAAAGTCAGTGTGGCTCCAGACCTATTTCTTGTGCAGAGAAAATAGGCCAAGTCAGCAGAAAAAGAACAGAAGAGTAACGACATAAGACAGTTAGAATGAGATTCTTGTTACAAGAAGTTCTTTTTTAAATTTTATTGCTTATTATAAACAATTTAGCCATAGCAAATGTTAGTTTTTAAATAACCATAATCCAAAATTTTACACCAAATATTGTTTTCCTCCAATATACATCAGTGAACTTTAGACATCTATGATATATTCATTTGTTATTATGACACTACATAAAAACAGTAAAATCCTTCATCTATTGTAAATGTATATGTTTGTGCTATACCTTAGAGGAAGCCATATACAACTCAAAGAGAGATGGTGCAGACAGACATGGTCAGGTAATATTTATAGAACACAGGAGGCACATGGTGCATCTACATTAGTGCAAAGATGAGTATTCCATTTCAACAGACTTGCCTCTCCATTTTTCCTTAGGAACGTGCAGTGCATTTGCAAACAGCATCCTCAAATCCCAGAGACTTTGGCATTGTGAATTATAGCTGTAGAGCAGTAGAAACTAATCACATTTTCAGAAGAAAAATAAATTAAAGCCTGTGTACTGTTAACACTCTGCTAATACTTCATGCAAGGCAGGGAGCCTCTCACTAGAACAGCCAGGAACCCCTGAAGGTTTCACATCTTCCTGAGATTATCCTCGCCTAAGCCAAGCAAGTCATTCAAAACAAATCTAGCCTTAAAACCTCACTGTCGACCATGTTCAGTCAGATCAACACATTTCTAATGTAGATATTTGATATAATAAAAGCCACTGCTCACTCGTATTAAGTTTCCCAACTACAGGCACAGATTCCATAACTTATACTGTAAGATATTTCTTTTGGTAATTTATCAAATTTCTTAGTGTCATTTTGGAATATCACTGAATCATAATTATGATATTGGATTGAATGTTTTAGGTTCTGTTTTAAAGTGACATAAAGGTCTCATCATCTATTCCCAGTGTTCAGCAAACAGTTTAAAAGCACACAAAAGGATCCATGTAAAAATACAAATGTTAAGGTCACTTGCAGTAGACTACGGCACATTTGAATTATTTATTGACCGCTTTTACACTTCATAAAAATCTGTACTTGGGTAAAAGACAATGCCTCATTACTTACTTTTTCCATTAATTATATAACTTCTTTAAAAGAATAGATTTTAAAGTTTATAAAATGTAAAAATTGGCTATTACATTTGAGTATATGTATATCTATAGAAAGAAATCAAATTTTATTTCCCCCTTTAAAAAAAGTCTGTTGTATATGGTCAAATTCTGGCATTTTATTACTGATATAAAATCCCTGGGAATATCTGGTTTCTCACCTTTTATTCCACAGTTGGAACAACTTTCATCACACCAGTGACTAAAGCCAAGTGCTTTTTAGGTGAGGTTAGTAATAATAACTAAGGAGACCTTAGCTACCAGAATCTGTTGAGTACCTTTGATTTTATTTAAATAATCAAATTAATGAATAAAATCCATCTACTGTTTTCATTGCTGGAGATACAACTGGTCTCTTCACACCTACCTAAAACATAAGCAAAAAAAAAAAAAAAAATTGAAGCTAAAAGGACTGATCTGCTATTCATTTTAGATATCCTTTCTAGAATATTTCTTTACTACATAGCCAGATTTTGTTTGGAATCTTCATGGCAGGGATCTTCACAAAGCTATCTAGTCAACAATAATGCTGCAATTGTTATTTTGTTTTCACAGATCTGTCTTAGAGATGGCATCGGTTTGATCTGCCCATATCAGTAACACTTCTTCCATGTCCCCAGTGAAGCTGCTTGTCTTTCTTATAAAGCAAATTTCACAAGAGAATCACAGGAATACTTTTCGGTTTTCCAGTGCACATGAAAGTTATGTTTATACTGTACTACAGTTTATTAAGTGTCTTCAAAGCAATATACACACCCATATTACAAATATTGTATTGCTAAAAAATGGCGACTAGCACCTGAGCTTTCAGCAGGTCCAAATCTTTTTGGTGGTGGGGTGAGTGTTGCTCAGCTATTAGGCTAGTGGTTGCTGAAGCTGGGTGGCTGTTTGTTCCTTAAAAGGACAGTGAAGCCTGCTGTATGAGTTGAAAGTTCTCTTCATGATAGGGTTTTCTGCAGCATGTGATGTTGTTTGGTAGCTTTTAATGAACAGCACATCTTCCTTCAAATTTGTAGTCATCTCTGATCCTGCTGCTAACTTACCAAATAACTTAAAAATAAACCCTTGATTGTCACCTCATCTCGGCTCACAGCACCTTTCTCCAGGAGGATATTTCATCCGAAGAGACCACTCTTCATTGCTCACGCATAAGAAGCAATTGTTCATCTGGTGGCAATATCATGAGGTGTAACTGAGTTACATCTTCAAGTTTCATCTGTAATTCTAATTCCTTTGTGGTTCTACCACATCAGTAGATACTTCCTCCACCAAAGCCTTAAAACCTCCAAAATTATGCATGAGGGTAGAAATCAAATTCTTCCAGATGAATGTTAATATTGATATCCTGACCTCTTTAGGAATCATGGATGATTTTAATAGCTTTAGCAATAGTGAGTTCTTTCTAGGATGCCTCTGACTGATTTTGTCAAGCCTCCTGAAGACTCATTTCTGTGTCAGCTATGATTTTATACAAGGCAGTTAGTTATTAAACAGTGAGGCTTGAAAATTGAAGTTACTCATAATCTATTGGGCACGGAGTGGGTTTGGGACCTGAGTAAATATAAAAACATCTTTGTCTCTTCATACTTCTCCATCTGAGCTCTTGGGTGATCAGTGCATTGTCAATGAACAGTGTAATTTTGAAAGAAACCTTGTTTTCCCCTGAGCAATAGGTCCCAACACTTGGCTTAAAATATTCATTAACCTACATTGAAAATTGACTTGGTTGTTCTATTTATAGACAGAGTAGGTTTAGTATATTCTTAAGAGTGCTAGGAGTTTTAGCTAGTAAATGGACATTGAATATTGGCTTCATCTGAGTTCATCATTTATGTTGTAGACATTAACAAGAAAGCCAGCCTGTCTTTTGAGGCTTTGGAGGTAGGATGACTTCTTTTCTCTGGCTGTGGAAGTTGTAAAGGGCATGAATTGAACAGTAGGATCTTTCATTTACATCTAGACTCCGCTTTGCTGCAGCCATCTTTGTATGTGATCCTAACTAGGTCTTTGGGAGAACGGGCTGAGGCCTATACAGCAGTGCCTTCACTTCCATGTTGCAGAGGCAGCAGCACCTTTCCTTAACTTCAGGAACTGATCTCTGCTCCCTTCAAATCTCTTACAGTATTTTCACCTCTGCCAGCCTTTGTAGGATGAAGGCAGTTAGGTCCTAGCTCTGGATGAAGCTTTATGACTTAAGGGAAGTTGGCTACTTGGATCTGCTACCCAGACGGCTAAAGAGTCCTCCTTATAAACACTGAGTCACCTTTCTCTTTCACCAAGATGAATTATTTCCAGCTTTGAGTTTAAAGCAAGAGATGTATTCTTCTTCTTTTAGTTTCAAAAGTTAGAGGTCATTGTTGGCTTATTAATTGGCCTAATTTCAATACTGTTCCCAGAAAAGGGAGGGGGAGGAGCTTTCCAGTGTAACAGACACAACACACACAGTATTTATCAACGTACTAAGCTCACTCTCTTATAGGGACAGAGTTCAAAACAAAATAGAAGACTACTGTAACAATATCAACTTTAACTGATCACAGATTGCCACAGCAGACACAATAATAACAACAATGAAAACATGTGAAATTTTGTGAGAATTACCAAAATGTGATACAAAGATAAGAAGTGAGTTCCTACTGCTGGATGAGTGATACTGTTTGGTGCAAGGTTACCACAAACCTTCATGTTATATAAAAAACAAAACAAAACAAAACAAAACACAACACTTGAAAAAATGCAAAAGGACAAAGTGCAACAAGATGAGGTATGCCTGTGCGCAAACCAGAGTTCCCTTCTGGTTCCTTCCATCCATGACCTCCAATGGTGCCAGGCACAGAATAGATTCTAAGGCACCGAAAACTTATTTGCGGACAAATGAAATAATGAACAATTCTAGTTCTCCTAAAGCTATCTGGAACACACCTGTTTCCTGATGTAGACCAGACTATCCTCTGTTCTTCTTTATTCCAGGTTCAATATTGAAATTTCCTAAAGCAGCATCAATATCAGATGGCCTGCCAAGTGGATTGCTTTAATCTGACTGTGCTTGAGTGGATCAGTAGATCCCTTACTATGTGACTTCAGAGAACCAAGCATAATTCTCCATCTAAGGTCAGCTCTGAGCAGGGTAGGAATCTTGGTCTCCACATGGACATTCTGCCTGAGATATTATCTGTCCTTAACTAGTAGACAATCATTTTTTGCAAGTTTCTAAATTAAGGCATTTCGTTCTGGGTAAAATTGCTAATTGGCACATATTCTGTTGTGGGAGGAGGAATGTTTCCTTGAATTTCCAGGATAAGGAGGGGGTGGGGAGCGCTGGGCTGAAGCTTGTGGTGTTGGAGAGTATGGTGGAGGCAAGTCTGCACAATATTCCATCTCGTGGTCATAAGTATAGGGCGGTGGTGTCACTGAAAAGAAAAGGGAAAAACATCAGGTGTTTAGTAAATATATCAGTTACTGTTTTAAACCACTGTGAGAGCTACTTTGAGAAGGGAAATATTTTTTATTTTTTTATTTTTTTTGCTTCCATTAGTATTTGTTTAGAATGTGGATAAGTATCGCTGAACAGGTGTGCTCTCTGTAAGGCGGCCCTGGGTGAGGGCATTTGGAGTTGGGGCTTGCAGAAGGCCCTTGGAAATAGGATGTTGAAGGGGCAGAGAGCGAAGAAGCAGAGGGTAATTCAAGTTTGGCTGAAAGCAAAGGAAGCAGGAGAGTATGTGCATTTCAGCAGAAAATGGAGAAAGGGAGACATGGAAGAAGAGGCTGAGGAACTGGGTTCAGGATCATCATGCTGGACTTGATGTCATGGGTAGAGTAAGTGATGTGGCATTCTTAGGGAAGAAATTGCAAAATTTACTTCTTTAAAATTACTCCTCATATATATTCACTGAACACAATACTGTTTATACAAGGGCATTTTCATACAAATACACATTGTCCACTGAACATGTCCTTCCCATGGGCTCCACCCCCTTCCTCCCACCCGCCATTATTCTCCTGCTTCTTGTTTGATTTCTGCTTTCATGTCATACATGATGTTAGGTTTCTGTATAAAATCTAGGAACTACAAATGGGAGTCATGATGTCTTTCTGAAATGGCCTGAATTCCCTTACTGTGATGTTCTCCTGCTGCACTATTTCCTCATAAACAACGTAACCTCATTCTCCTTTGTGACTCAATGCATTTCTACTGCATAGGGACCACATTCTGTCCACCTCTGTGCTTCTGGGCCCTGGTTGGTTGCATAACTATTACTGTGATTAGTGTTGTAGTAAACATTGACGTGGAAGTATCTTTGCGGTACTTAGAAAAACAGAGTAGTGAATGTGCTCTGGTGAAACTACCCTCTCAGCAGAGAGCACAGCGGCAGACTTCAGAAATGTGAGGTGATGGAATAGTATGCAAGGGCAATGAGAAGACATTCATGACAGTGAGGAGGGAATATTCATCAAACACCAAGTGGCTGAGTGTAGGGCATTGGGAACGCAGGAAGGGCTAAGAGTGAGATCAAAGTATTGAGCAGTTAGCACAAGGGCCCCCAGAACTTGCAGGATAAACACATTTGGGAATGGAGATGAGGTATTTCCTTTTCTAAATCTTATTTGAAAATCTGTCTTAATTTTGTTTACTGCAATATATGTCAGTGCCTTTGATAATCACATTTACTATCCATGATATTGACTTCTCCGGGATACTTATTCTGTAGTGATCCCAATCCTGTCTCCAGGGGAGGCAGAGAGGCACCTGGGAGCTGAAATGGATCCGTGTCTTCATGATGATAAGCCAAAAATAAAAATCATCCTCAGGATCCAGATCCTACTTGGGAAATGACAACCTTTAACTGGTCACTATGCATGTAGCATGGATCTCAAGACTCATGTCACAATCGTGCGACTAAATCACCAAGCTTCTGGCATTGCAGTGACAGCAGAGAATAGCTATCATTTCAGCAAACTGCTCTTCCCCCAAGGACCTGACAGCGTTCTGATAAATAGGCACACAGGAGGCCTCAACCGCTAACAGGCACACGTACACACAGGGGGCCTCAACCGCTATGAACATAGAAGCAATGCTTCTCCTGGATCCCTCTGGTGTGCCTCTCGTTATAAAGACCCTGACGTTTGGCGTCATTTACTGACCTCCCCATAGACAGAGGAAGTGAGAAAAGAGAATTAAGTAACCCAGAGAAAAGAGGAATAAGGATCCACCTAAGCGAGGGACGTGTCCCCGCAGAGCCCTGCTCTGATGATGAGACACTCCCTAGTGCACTGGGGAGACAAGGATCTTTCATCAGTCAGGGAACTGGGCTAAGGGAAGACATCAGCAGAGACGCTCACAGCTTCTTTAACCTTCCTTCAGACCCGCCTCACTGTCCTTCTTCAACAAAATGGAGTCATTCCTGTGGAGTGCAGACACATTCCCTCTGGATTTCGTGCCCAATTCCTGGCTCTGTTAAATATCAAAGGGCTGATACAAAGGTTTGCAGAATGTTTCATGCATACCAAGAAAGGAGGCCCAACAGCCTTTCTGTAAACTAGCAGGTCCCAGCCGGCTGCCTGTCACACTGGTTCTTGTAAACAGTGGTTCCACCTTGTTATTATGCTAAAGTTTCTCCCGCCTCTGGTATGAGGAACACAGACTGACTTAGTCAACATGTGCCACCACACCTGGCTTTTTACCTGGCTGCTGGGGATTCAACTCAGGCCTTCCTGCTCCAGCGGCTGACCCTTTACCAACCGCCATCTCCTCACAGCCCTAACAGTGTCTACTTCTCACAGAAACCTGAGCTGTTGAGAAGGTATTTGCTGCACGCTCAGAGGACTTTTGAGTTTGGGGAAGGAAGGGGAATTTAAGTAAGGGGATATAAGACTATTATCTGAAGCGGATGAATGTGAACACTAATTTCAGGTTTGTCTCTAATTAAAAATTTGATTTTTGCATTGACAAGATGGCTCAAGGCAATAAAGGTGATGGCCCCCAAGCCTGGCAACTGAGTTTGAGCCTCAGAACCCACAAAAAGCTGGAAGAAGAGAATCAATTGCACAGAGTTGTCCTCTGGTCTCCACATGTGATCTGAGATACAAGCACCCACAACTATCACACAAATACTTGCAATAATAATAATAAAGTAATAATAATAATATATATATTTTTTAATCTGATTTTTCTCTCAAAAGATGGCTTCCTCTGCTGCACTATCAAACTAGAATTGTAGCATGAATCTTAAAGAGTCTTATAAATAAAATCAAACCTGGGATGAATGCTGGAAGATCAGAGAAGCAGAACAAGCTACCTCACCTCTCCAATTCTTCAGCTGGTCCTTTTTCCTCAGACTGGAAGCCTCTCAATCCTCATCCGAATGAATCTCAGCTGAACTGTGCTGCTCCAAAGCCTGAAAGCTTAATCAGCCAAATGCTTCTAGTTCCTGGTTTTCATGCCTTATATACCTTTCTGCTTTCTGCCATCACTCCCTGGGATTAAAGGCTCACTTCTTGGGTTTAAAGGTGTGAGTCACCATGCCTGGCTACTTCCAGTGTGGCCTTGAACTCACAGAGATCCATGTCTCCAGAAGGCTAGGATTAAAGGTGTGAGTGCCACCATTTTCAAGCCTCTGTATCTAGTGGCTGTTTCGTTCTCTGACCCCAGATAAGTTTATTAGGGTGCACAATATTTTGGGGAACACAACACCACCACATAGAATCATTATTTTTCTCCTCATCCTACAACATGCAGGGCCAGAACATACAGATGCTTGTGATGTTAAAGCTGTTTTTCAAGCCATCATCCTATTTTCTTTCTAAACATCTGAGCTCGTTTGTACCACACAAGCCATGGGATGCTAACACTTTATAACTCTGTCTATTTCTATATCTTATAGATATCTGTAACCTGTCCTGTCTTAAGTATGTGTTCACTGAGGACTTAGTAGGGTCCATAGTTATTAAACTACCTCAACATCTGCTACCATTCCTGGCCACTAAAACATCTATGTAACTATAACATTAATGCTTTTAATTATCCTTCTCTTCCCCCTGTCATTAGCAATTATAGTAATGTTTTGTAAATCTTTATTTTAAAATATGATTTCTGCTTTTTATTTTTTTCTGGACTACTCATTCCACTAAGCTGGGAACTTATGTTGATTTCTGACCTATTGAGGGCAAATTAAAGAAAACAATTTAAATTTATGTCACCTCTCTTCAGTCTGCCTGTCCTTTATCAGCTGGTACTTATGAACCATTACTCAAATGACTCCGTTGCATCTGTTGTCCAGGCTTTTATATCAATCTGTCCCATCTATAGTAACCATGGTGGGAGGAATGACTAGAAAGAGACATGTGTGTGTCTCCTTAGGTATCAGGGTGTCGAGACATGGGCCCCTAAGAATTGGAATTTACCCCCAGGAACCTCTCGCTGAGAGCGCAAGGCTGAAGCTTTATCTCAGCCAGAGGGGCAACTTGTCTCCTGGAAAGAGATTTCACATAATCTTGACAAGTTGTTATACCACCTTGTAGGAGAGACTAGAACCCAAACAAGAATGGCTCAATAATGGATGGGTCGGTCCACACCGGTCAGGACTGTCAAGCTCTGTATACTTCTCTCTCTTTAAATCTAAGCCTCATGTCAGATGCCTAAGGATGGACTGATGGTGAATGGGAGAGATCCTTGGCTCCCTTTATTTTTTTTCTCTTCCCAGTGTGGTCACAATGAATAGACATCCGTGTTTTGTCTTTTCATTATTGTCTGTTTAATTGGCCCATTGAGGTCTGATGGCTGAGCATAGCTTGTTAGGGCTGCCAGGGCACAGGCTCTGAATGTAACAACTCTAACAACATGACTGCCTGGCAGCAGCCAGGCTCTGATTAAGTCCAACATTTAAACTATCCTCTATCTGTATGTAGGAGCTTACTGTGGCTAGACAAGAAAACAGCCATGCAGACTGATCTTACTTTAAAACAGTGACCTTTTCTTAGATGTGTTGGCTGTTGGTGTTGCTTAGAAAGCATGTATTATGCTAGGCATTTCATGCATGCCACTTTCTGAAATGGGTTTCATCCTTTCCTCACTTTCTTTCACTTCAAACATGTCCTTAACCCTCTTCATTCTCAGCAAAAGACTGGGTTCTTATTTCACCGAGAAAATAAGACCAGACTGAAGAAAATATTCTCATATATGTCTACCAAATCCACTGCCTCTAAGAGAGAAAGTACACCACTCTACTTGTATATGGGACCCCACTCTCTAATGCTCAGATTCTGAATTCTAAAAATTAAACACATCATTGTGTGTATATGGTGTGTATTTGAGCATGCGTGGGCTTTGGCATACACATGGAGGTCAGAGGACAACTCTGTGGAGTCGGTTCTCTCCTTCCAACTTTATATAAGTTGAAGCGATTAAACTCAGCTCCTCAAGTTCTTCACACAGTAAGCCATTTCTCCAGCCAAGACTCTGATCTTTCATAATGCCTCCTGTCCTCTACACTTACCAGCCTCCTCCTTTTTATTTTATGTAAGTGTATTTATTTGCTAAAGTACAAGATATCATGAACTACAGTTATCTATGGGAAAAAGTCTAGCATCATCTCTGTTTTCTAGAACCCTTTAAAGTAAAAGTTAAAGAAAATTGTACCTATTTCTCTACGTCATCATACAAGGCAGGGTGGTTAGAACGAGACATCCCTGTATAAACTGGTGACATAACTGTTCCATGGTATGGTTAAGAGGAAGGTTTTCATTGTAGATATGAGAGAGCTAGAGCAAGAGTGAGTTATAATGGGCTTGGCTTGAGCATCTGACACCTCAAAGCCCAACCCCAGGGACACATTTCCTCTAACAAGGCCACACCTGCTTACAAGGCCACATGTCCTAATAGTGCCACTCCTTATGAGCCTATTGGGGCCATTTTCATTCAAACAGCCACATCTACTAAACTCTAGCTAGTACTGCCCATATGTATATGGATATGGAAAACCTAAAAGTGTCGACATACTCAGAGAAGAATGATTCTCCCTATCTATCAGCTCCCAATTGCTCCCCAGTAAGGAAAGGAGACTGAAGATAATCTAGTCATCCAAGTCAGAATTTGAACAGATAACTGCAGTTGCTGTGAGTTCATGAAATTGCTCACTTTTTGTATGGTACATATACAAAATGACATAGAAAACACTAATCTTAAGCCGGGCGGTGGTGGCGCACACCTTTAATCCCAGCACTCGGGAGGCAGAGGCAGGCGGATCTCTGTGAGTTCGAGGCCAGCCTGGGCTACCAAGTGAGTCCCAGGAAAGGCGCAAAGCTACACAGAGAAACCCTGTCTCAAAAAACCAAAAAAAAAAAAGAAAAAAAAAAGAAAAAGAAAAAGAAAACACTAATCTGATTCTGTAACTCAAGATGAAGGGCTTTGTGTGTAGAATCTCATGTGCTAATATATTTATATGTAGAACTTCTAGAAGATTCTCAACACGTATTTATTTGTGAAGTTATTAATATATCATCTTCGCTCTTTGCTGAGAATTGTATTATGTGGAAGCTGTACTTTTCGTTTAATGAGGACTCCAAAAACTCTTTTTCTAGAGACATGTGTACCTCCTGCCTTAGACAGCAGTTTATTGAGACAGATGGCACATTTTCTCCATAATTACTTGTCAGAACTCATTGGCAGGTAAATAGACACAGTGGTTGTGAATTTTCTATTTATCTTAATTCTGGCTGACTGGCGATTGCAGTTAATAACACAGCCATTGAAAGTATGACTATATTTAAAGAAGATGAATTGTTTCTTTTTTTACCAAGATCTCTGTTCAAGGCTAGAGCTTCAATCTATACTTATTTGGGAATACTCTGGAAAATTTGAGATTATTTCAGTGAGAGTCTTAATGCTTCTTGAAGGAGTAGAGCCTAAGAAGCCCGTTTGGTCCTTCAAAAGTGAGCCTTGTTGCTTACTAGGATAAGAGGAGATGGCGTTGATGTGGGTCGTTCTGAGGACACCGACCCGGGTCCCTCGGTTATTCTTCACGCACATGCAGACACATATGGCGATTCCCGCAATGACCCCCATGATGAACACGATTCCAAACACGATGCCGGCAATCGCGGTGCCCCTGAGAAGGAAAACAGAACAGTCTGCCTCAATGGTCTGCAAGGAGCTGAGCTTCAAATACAGCCCACGGCTCTAAGCTAAGTGTTTCTCCACTATCGTGCTTAAGGGAGAGTGTCCTTGAGTTAATTCAACAGTTAAGAAAAACTGAAAGCCTGTAGAGGATCTTTGTATAGTACACTTGACAAACTCACTGTTCCAATTCTGCCTTTTAGAATTTCATAAATTTTGAGCTAGAAAGAGGGTTCAGCAGTTAAGAACTCATCCTGCTCTTCCACAGGACCTGGGTTTGGTTTCCTGAACCCAGGTAAGGAAGCTAACAACCACTTATAACTAAAGCTCTAGGGGGTCCATCACTCTTTTCTGGCCTTTGCAAACAACTGCACTCACATGCACACACCCTGCCACATAGACACCTGTACAAATGCACACAGGAATTTTTAAAAAAAATTGTAAATTTATAGTAATATGAATCCCAATTATAAAATAGTAATCTAAAATTGATAATCATCTAAAAATCATTTAATATGTACTTGAATGGCAAAAATGTGTATATTGAGCAAGGAAAATATTTGTTTCAGTGAAAAAGCCTTAAATTCAACTTAAAATTTATTCTTAATTAAAATGCTTCATAGAATAAAAGGGCTTTTTCCTCATAAAACAAAGAAAACCAAATGGAACATCTGCAGCCCCCATATACTCAGAGGATAGAACAACAAATAAATATTCCATTAAATTCAGGAATAACATCATCAAACCCTCTATTTCCACTATGGCTAATCGTTTTCTCCAGAGAGCATTAGCTCATGCAACAAAACCACATGACAAAAATTGTAGAAGACACTCGACACTACTGTTATTTGTACACAACATGATTTGTAGCATCGGCGTATGTCAGTGGTTTTAGAAGTGGTCCATCTTTACCAAAATGAAGAACCTGACTGGGCAGTATCTTTTCTTTCAAAGCTTCCCTGGAAATACAACACAATAATGCATGCAAAAATAATATAACAAGGATGCCCACCAAGGTGACTGAAGTGAAATGGGCATGGTATTCATGATAACTTCCTAGCAATATTGTGAATGAAAACGCAAGTATTAACAGATAACTATCCAACAGTTAGTAGGATAACCGCAATATCCTGGGGAGAAATTGTTTTCATGCACTAAATTTTTGAATGGATACCTATCTGTTGTTTTGTAAATATGGGGCAATGAAGGCATTTTCCAGTCTCTTAATTTGTACACTGTACCCAAAGCAACCATTTCCAACTTTCAGCTTCATTGCTGAAAATAATTGTAAGCCTATTTCTCATCATCCTTTTTAATTAAAAAATTTTCAGTCTCATCTAGAGGTAACTTTTACATATGTAGTTCCTTCATAATCACTATCTTTAGTTAAAATAGTTAACAGTATTTATATTACCATTGTAATGTACCTTGGTGGGCCAAGCAGAATACTGTGGTAGACTTAGATTTTTCTTACAACCTATTATAAGGAAGTTCTACCAGGTTCATTTTTCCCATATACTATTGCAATTCTTCCCCCTGCCCGTGGTTCCTTGACAATTTTCACACAATTAGCGATAACTTTCATTTTCAAACACAGTAAAAATACTCATCAGTTTTGTTCTGTTTCCACGGAAATCTCTGGAACATTCTACTAACTCAGGTGGTCTGAATCCAGAGCTTTTTTCCTTTCAACCTGGGTTTCAGGTTCTCAGTTTCAGGACCACACTCCTGAGTCACTTATTATGGAGTAATTTGAAAGGAAATTTGTGTGACTGGGAATGACTTTATGCCATACCTTCCCTTGATTTGTAAACAGGATATTGCGTTAGTTCAGCTATACAGTTAACACCTCAGAAGATTCACCCTACAAGAAAGAAAGGTTTATTTTGGCTCATGGCTTCAGAGGTCTCAGTCTGTGGGTGCTTCTTCCTGTTGCCTTTGAGGCTATAGCACACCAGTACACCGTGGCAGAAAGGTGTAGGGGAGGAAGTTGCTTGCTTTTTGTTAGCCAGAAAGCAAAGTGAAGCCTTTGAGAGCTTGATCCCAGTGACCTAACTTCATTCTACTGTGCTCCAGATTTTTATGGTTTTAGAACTGTCCAGTACTGTCACTCCAAGTACCATGCACCTGAGAAGAGGGCCCTTGAGAGACACTACTCCACAGTCTTGAAGCTGTGCATGTAATTCTGAAGCAAAATATAATTTCTACCAATCTTGGGGCCTTGCTCACTGTACTCTAGAATCTGGTATTGTTACACAGGAATTCCATAAATTCTAATTACCTCTGTCTCTTCTCCTTCTCCTTCTCCTTCTTCTCTCTCTGTCTGTCTCTGTCTCTGTCTGCCTGTCTGCCTCTCTCTCCTCTGTCTGTTTTCTGTTCTGTTCTATTTTTCTGGAGACCTTTGGCATTTTCTACTAGTAGTCTAAAATCCAGAAAGAACTGAACTGACAGTCTCTTAGGATTTATCATTTCTAAAGACTCATTATTGCCAGTTCTTACATTCCATAAATCAACAACTTCTCCCCTCTTTAACATGGTTTTCCTTCTAGAATCTGTTCTTAGACAAACTCTTAGTTTTTCTTAATTCTTTCTGTCATTAGTTCTCTCTTGTTACTATTGTTTTTTTTTTCTTTTTTAAATACAATCTATGGGGATTTCATTTACTCAATCTTCCCAAATTTTATTGACTTCATAGATCAGCGGTTGTAGCTTGAGTTTGTAACTGCCATATCTTGCAATCTACTATGTTCCTTATAAGTTTTTTTTTTTTTTTTTTTTTTATGTTCTGCTTTCCTTTCACAGATGTTTATTTTGGTTCAAATTTTCTTTTCTTTTTTAAAAAACATTGTTTTTAGCCTTTTCTATTATCCCTGAGTGTACTGATGCCATATCCTTTGAAGCTTTCTATACTCCTTATATTTTCTCTGTCCTGTCTAAATTCCTTTCTTTTGTTTGCTTAATTCGATGGCTCTCATGTTTAGTGTTCTACTCAATTGTCTGGTCATCCTTGAGTCCTGCCTGTGGTTAAAGTCTGTTACTCAAAGGCACATGTATTGGGAGCTTGCTGACAAATATGAAATGGGAAGAAGTAAAATGAAGAGTCTGACGGGAGGTGGTTAGATCTTTGGGGGTTTACCCAAAGCAAGGATTAACAGACTTTGCAGCCCCTTCATGATTTCCCTTGTCTTATTAGGTAATTGCTCCCTCTCACCTCTGTTCTCACCATGATTCCATCTGCACTAATGTGATAGACACAGCCAGTTGGGGTCTTGCTAAAGGTGGAGCCAAGCTGTTTAGACTTTTGGATTTTAAAAATGTGAGATAAACAATGCTGTTTCCTTTTTTCTTTATAAAAGTACAGGTAGTTTGCTATAGAAATCGAGTGCAGACTAATGAAAAAGCAAAAAAAAAAAAAAAAAAAAAAGAGGAAAAGGAAAAGGCTCTGGATAGCTCTTGTAAGCTTAGTGAGCAATGCCAGAAGCCAGAATTTGACAACTGAACCATATATGGTCAGTTTTCATATTACTTTTCCTTCCAGAAAAGCTGTAGCACGAATTGCTAAATGGTCTTATACTAAAAAACCTGGTACCAGATATTGGGGTAAATGCTGAAAAATCAGAGAGACAAAGTAACAAGTCATTGTCACATCTCACTTCACCAATTCCACGAATCCTCTGACTGAAATCCTCTGAGTCCTCACCCAAAGGCTTCAGTTGAAACAGCCTCTAGCTGAAAGGGACGCTTCAGCCGAAAAGCCTTTAGTTCCTGTCTCCTCACGCCTAATATACCTTTCTCTATCCAGCCATCACTTCTTGGGATTAAAGGTCTTTGCCACCACAGCCTGGCTGTTTTCGCTCCTAGACTGAGTCAATCTCATGTAGTCCAGGGTGTCTTTGAACTCACAGAGATCCAGATGGATCTCTGCCTCCCAAGTGCTAGAATTAAAGGTGTGTGCCACCACTGCCCGGCCTATATGTTTAATCTAGTGGCTTGTTCTGATCTTCAGCCAAATTTTATTTTAGGGTACACAATATATCACCACAGTCTTGTCGTTGGAGAACATGAATCTGACTGGAAATTCCCTAAAACATGGACTTTTTGCTAGAGAGGTATTGAATTTTCACACGGCCCTCATGCATTTACTCTGGGGATCCAATATTGTTCTGCTATGACTGCTGCCTTTTAGCTTTAAAGCCATGGCTTCTGAAGCCAGACTACCTTCTCACTGCAGCTTGGGCACCTCAAATAAGATGCACAGCTTCTCTTCTCCTCAGTTTTGTCATTCTCCAGCTTGCTGCTTGTCAGCCTTTCCTGCTAGATTTCTTGTCATGGATTTGTGTTCACGAGACATTTGCCAGATAAATAGATTCTTTCTGCCAGTGTGCTGTGAGCGTCTATCCCACATCTTCTATAAATAGCTCATAATCTCTACCTCAAAGCAAGGCATCTCACAAACCAGAAAGGTTGGAATATTGAAAAGGACAGTATGTATGTGGCATACTATATGATGGTCCCTTGAGGCAGCCTTGTTGTGTTCTGAGAACACTCATGTTTCTACAGTGTAGGAGGGGATGTTAATATGTGCATGTTACCTAGAGACCACTAAATAGCCCCAGGTTGCTTCAAAACCTGTTCTTGCACCATCAACCCTCACACGCACGTCTGGAATTATTAAACATGCTGAAAAGTGAAAGTACACACAAAAGATCTGAACTGGTGTTGCCCAAAAGACATCCGTCTCTAAGATTCTTCCCCAGCTCACTTAAAAAACAGAATGCCACTGAGGAGTCCAAAGCACTCTTATTTCTTACAGGAATTTCCATTTTGTTATTGAATCACAGAGGTGGAATGGGAGGCAAATCTGGAAGTGTTCCTATTAGCAATTAAAGAGTGGCGGAGTCTAGTCGTTTAATAAATACTTCTCTGCAAAGAGAAAGACTTGTAGGAGGAGGTAATTTGAAGGAAGACAATGAAAAGTTATCTGTAAATCTC